AAAGATTTAATATAATCCCAAAAAAACACATGATATAACAATAGTTTAATACATAATAAGTAAGTGAATAACTTTACTTTTACATTTTAGTCAAAAATTGTGCAAAAATGTATAAACATACATTGAAAACAATTTGAGGTGCCTAAACTGAATAGCAGTGTGAATTGAGTAGAGCATATTCTTATTCTAGGAGGAGGCAAAAACAGAAGTAGTGGGGATAACGTCAATTTTTGTGGGCCTTAAACGAGAAAGGAAGGATTGGACCACAATTGCATGCTGCGTCTTTTGTAACGAAAACACCCTTAAAAGCCCAACCACGCGACACTCACTCATTATGTGTCGTCTCACAATTTCGGTGACGGCGGTTTTAATCGCTCCTCCGGGCCCACGGGCCTTAAAACAATCTCTTTCTCGTTTTCAATGAATGAAAGTTGAACACAGCCACCACCCACACCACCTTCTCTACCACCGTGCGTAATCTTTCTTTCACACGCATGCCTCCACTCCATATATTATTTACTGTTATATATACAATCTTATTTGAACCGGATTAAAAATGAGGATAGATTATTCTGCTTATTTTTTTCTGTCTATCTTTGCCTACCATTCTCCAATATCGTTAGATCATAATCTTAATTAACATGTATCTTTTTCTCTCTTCTGATCTAAGAAAATGATAGATAAATGTAGGCAAAAAAAATAGTAGGTAGAATAACCTATTCCTTAAAAATAAATAGATGCTAAAATTCAAATTAAAATTCGTTTAACAATTTATTTTGTGTCAATATTCATTGAGGCAAAACTCTTCCAATTTCCAATTAAATTTTTAACATATTTGTGTATCGAGGACTTTAAACTCAAAACTACTAATTAAACTTGAATCTTTACCAGTTGATACATATGTTTAGTGGTTATTATATTATCTTTTTATATGGGATGTATATTTCGATTCCAAGCATGATTATGAAGGAACATGGAAATAGTCTCTAAAGTCAAAACAGGAGTGATGAAATTCTCATGCAATCCAAGATTTGGAGGTAATCATTGGCAGTGGTGGTTGTCAAACATGGGATGCAACTCACAGCTGATTATAGCTATTTGACCACTAATGCACCATCCTTGTTCCCGAGTAAATGAGACCAAAAGCATTAAGCAATCAATAGTGTTCAATATTTTATCCATCCTTGTTGGACTCCATTCAAGGACTATTATATTTATGAAAAATAAACTTGTCATTAAAAAAACGACTTAAATCAAAATCAGCCTCCTATATATCCCTTCAATTAAAGCAATTATTATTATGTATCTAAAACTACTATATTTAATGCAATAGAAATTATAGCGTATAGATGACATTATTATATATATATATATGGGGAAAACATTTCTCAAGCTGCTTGAGATAATGTTCTCTCCAGCTAAGTGAAACTACGTCGTTTTGCATTCAGATTTCAAGTAAAATAATAATTTTATTTTCTAAATAGAACATCCACTATTCCATCTTCGTTCCCTTTTAGTCAATCATAGAGCTCTTCATCCCCAATCTGAACCACGTTGAAGAGCGTTGATAATGGGTTGGAAGAATAACAGAGCGTTGATAATGGTCGATCAGAGCACACTTCTCTTATGCCGTCTTCGTCGATTCAGATTTAAAAAAAAAAATTCTAAAAAGTCTTGCTAGTCGGTGCCCCAATTTGCGAAACCTATAGGTTATCGATGCTGACTGAGGTGGGTTTGTTGAGACATTAATGATTTATGTTGTTCAATGTTTGCTGACAATGTTTTGAGCTCTGGCCACCCTTTTGACCTTCTTTGCCTTTACCATGCTTAATACACGTCATCTGAAGTTTCTCCATAGCCATAGGACTTGAGATTTAGCTATGTTTCAATATGTACCCTTGTGGGTTATAATGCAGTCCGCAGAATCTCAAAACATGTTGTAAATGTCAGTACTGAAATGAAAGAAAAAGAAACCTCTGTTATATAGCTTCACTTATTTTCCTGCCCTCTGTCCCGGGCTTTAGTGTTATTTAACTGATAATGTATGATGAGTAACTTTCATTTTGTTTCCTCGTTTAATTCCTTTCCCCTTGTAATCACAAGCGAAATCTTCCCAATGCACGAGTACATAAGAGCTCAAGGTTCTGGTCTGCTACACTATAACCCTTCATGTATTAGTTTCCTAATTTCTGGTCTCCTCCTATGTTTCCAATCCGTCTACAAATTTAAAAAAAGAATAAAAATAAAATAAAAAACAAATGGTATCTTCTAACCATCTTTATTTCTTTCTCTTTTTCATTTCTCATATGAATCATATGACTATTTTGCATACTGGTATTTACTATTAGCTATAAATACGAACAGAATACAAACTAGAAAGCAATAAAAAAGCACAAAGAACTCTACTCTGCCTCTTCATCGCTTTGTTATGCATTGTTTGGCTACTAGAACACCAGTTGGAGGACCAGTCATCTCTATCTGGCATATGCTAGTCAGTTGACAGGATTGAGACAATATCCTTGCCTATTACTTAAGACTTTTAAAAATTAAATAAAATACTTTTTTTGTGTTGCCATTTAGTCCCTTTTTCTTAGAATATCCCCTTTTTTCAAAAAATCAAACGGAGTCTAAAGCACTGACATACCTGGTTTGCAAAATCAGCAACAGAGTGCACAACTTCAGCCAACATAACATGGCTAGAGGAAGCTAACCATACTCCAAATTTGAGAGAAAAAACAAGAAAGTTACACCACAATACAGTTCTGACAGCTCGCTGACTAGAGTAATGAACAATAAAAGGAAAAAAAAAAATCAGGTGCAGGCAAATGGGACAAGTTATGGAAGCATTATCCTCACACATAAAATAAATACAGTAACAACAAAGAGAAATGCTGGATAACAAGTATCTGTTTTAGGCTTAAAATGCAGAATAAAGTGACTTAAAAAAAGTAAATGAAGGTAACATAATTTCAAGAAATTGCATTCTGCCCGAACAATTAACATCGTCTATGATTTCTTATCTTATCATCACTATGAACAAGGATAACTAAAGAACATGATAGATTAGGGCACTGATGAACTAGAGTCAAATACCTGTCTTTGGTTGAGCACGGGCGTTGCAGCAAATGGTGGAGAGAGCAGTGAACGTCCAAGAACTGAGAGGGAAAATGATTCAGAGGAAGAATGACCAGCAACGAAGGAGAAGAACGCTCTCTGATTAGGGATTGAGGATGAAGAGCTCTGTGATTGACTAAAAGGGAACGAAGATGGAATAGTGGATGTTCTATTTAGAAAATAAAATTATTATTTTACTTGAAATCTGAATGCAAAACGACGTAGTTTCACTTAGCCGGAGAGAACATTATTTCAAGCAGCTTGAGAAATGTTTTCCCCTATATATATATATATATATATATATATATATATATATATATATATATATATATATATATATTAAATCAAAGTATTACTCTCTCTTTTTAATAAACTATAAGTATCATTTTGGAGAGACAATCATGTTCAAGCCGGAAACATCCACGTTATGGTGAAGCTAACTCTTCTAATAATTTTTTTTATATATTCACACAGACTTAAATCAAATATACTAACGGGTCAGTGGCATATACCCAGCCATATAACATGAGAACTTGGTGACGTAAACGACAAGGGACAGGCCTTATTAGGTAATTGGGTGATCACATGCATGGCATTGGCAATTACTTTGTAAACAGGAACATGTCTTTTAGCCAAGGACGGTAGACCCAATGGAATGTAACGTTTGAGGGCTGCACAATACATCACATCACCTCACCTCCTACAGTCCAATTCTTTTTTTTCTTTTTCTTTTTTAATTATTCATAAATTTATAGATTTTTTATAGATTAATTCGGAGTTCGTAGCGAATCCATAATTAATTAAATCTTTAAATTCCTCCTAGATAATACTGGAGAGAATTGAACACATGCCCTTACCCCACCTGCTCAGCTCTCATGCCCAGCTACTTGGTTAGAGTTGGTAAAACTGGCCAACCCGGCTCAACCCGACCCAACCTGCATCCAACCAAAAAAAATGAGCCGGGTTAGAGTTGACTCGAAAAATAAATGAGTTAGAAAACTCAACCCGAATCGGGTTAGGGTTGGCTCGCGAGTTGACTCGAAAAAAAAAAAATTTAAAATTCCATTGATGCTATAACTTCTAAATTTTCCCCCTAAATTATTAATAAATTTAATACAAAGACATTATACAGATAAACCATAGAAAATTCCTTTTGCATTTAGACTTTGACTGATTGGCAGTTGGCACCACATTCACGCTATCACACATACTATAAAAAAGGTCCTTAATGCACGGTTTTGGACTTATTAGCAGCTGCAGGGTATTTGCGTTTGGGTCTTTGGAATTGAGATTTTAGATTTTAGCTTTCCACTTTACCTTCATTAACTTTTATACTTTTATATTAAAAAAAAACATAACCCACAAGCCAACCCGTTTGACTCGATAGTTAGCTCGGTTATTTTCGAGCTGAAGCGAGTCGGGCTGACTCGAGTTACTAACTCATTTTTTCTAACTCAACAGGCTCATTTTAACAGAGTGAGTTGGGTACTTTCTGCGCAGCCTATACTTGGTTAGTCCAATTCTTCTTTAGTTTGTTTCTTCACATACCTCATCCATCCAATCCCTGCATGCCACGTTGGATTTACTTATTTTCTCCTGTCTCTTGGTCTAAATTGGCAAACCCTGTTTTCAGTTACATTTTCATCTGTTTGTTTTAACTGCTTCTTTCTACTCTCCACATATTTTTAATGTAAAAAATAATTCAGGTTGGTGAAAACTGTCATATCTTGGGATGTTAAACACTTAAACTCCTTATTAAGTAGTATATATTTAACTCTCCATGGTCCATAACATAGAGAATCTCGGGGATTTGCTATAAAGACTCTAGTTAGTGCTTCAACATTGCTGTTCCATTTGTCTCTACAAGAAAGAAGAAGAAGAAGAAGATGGGAAATTGCCAAGCCATTGATTCAGCAACACTAGTGATACAACACCCCAGTGGGAAAGTAGAGAGATTTTATTCGCCTGTGAGTGTAAGCAGAGTTATGAAAACGAACCCTGGTCATTTTGTTGCTCTCATAATCTCCACCACATTGTGTCCAACCAAGGACATTGAAAATTGCCCAAATAATAAGAATGACACAAACACCAACCCAGTTCGGCTAACTCGCATCAAGCTTCTCAAGTCCACTGATACACTCGTTCTTGGCCAAGTTTATAGACTCGTCACAACTCAAGGTTTGTTGCTACTACGTACAGTACACCCTTTCTGTATTCCTGTAATTTGCTCTTGACATTTTTATGCATCTTCTAAATTTGAGCCTTTTCTTGCTTCTTGGGTTAACTTTAGAGGCCATGAAGGGCCTGAGGGAAAAGAAAAAGATTAAGCAAAACGTGTCAGAGTCTGCTCAAAACCCAGTTTTGGTGAAGGAAAAACTCGGGTTGGAGAATGAAAATGCAGCAAGGAGGTCTGACCCAGAGGAAAACCAGGTAAATCTATGTTTTTTATTTATTTTTTATACTATTTTTACTTCCAAGTAATATGTTATTTCAGCCAGAGATTTGTTTGATCTTTTAGAACGGGAACAGCTAATTGAGTGGTGCTTGATGTGTTGTCTCTCTGTTTACGCCAAAGAACATTTCTTTAAGAAAAATCATTTTGATAAACAGTTAATTTTACTATTGGGTAATGTTTGGTTCGGGAGAAATTTTTTTTTACTAGGGAAATGGTTGGAAAGTGAGTTTGGTAGGAAAATGTAAAAAAAGTTATTTGGTTGACCCAAATATTACCAAGGAAATTTATTTAAATATGCAAAATCTATGTTCGGGAGAAACTTTGCACCTATTTTTTCACTTCCCCAGTTATCTCAAAATACCACATCTCAAGTGGTATTTTGTAACATCAAGTGGTATTCTGTAACAGTGAATTTCATCCAAAAATCAACACAAAAGTCATTTTTACATCTATCCTATTTGCCTGGTATTTTTTGAAAAAACCTGAACCAAACGTGATATTTTCCAATATCTACTTACACTTTCCCATCAATCCCAAAGTAAACCTTCAACCAAACACTATCTTGGGATTTTTTTTTAGTCTCCTCGGACTGTTCATCATTCGGACCAGTCCGGTTCGAGCACTATAAAATCTTATAGAGAGGGCAGCCATTTTTTTCATTTTCAAGGCTCAAATACAATATCACTAGTTAAGGGATACAAGTTCCTTTCTATTTGTGCCGACCAATGTTATTTGGTTACTGTTGGGGTATTTTAAAGGGTTGAGTTTGTAAATTGATTCAATTATTTCGGAACTTGCTAGTTGCTACTTGTTAATTTTCCTTTTCTTGAACCATTTCCTCTCCAGAATAGTGAGACAGAATATTACGGACCTTGAGGTCACCATCCCAAAAGCTAGTTCAAAGAGTGGGAGTGTCCAAAGTCTTTTAAACTCCACATTAGTTGTATAGGCAACTAATGTGGGACTTGTAACATTGTCACCCCCTTTAAGAGCCGACGTCCACGGCGGCTTTCACTCTATCTACATTGACCCGACGGTAGCCCTTTCCTCTCTTTGGGACGACTTTACTCACTTATCAGTATTCAGTGCCCAAAGGCACCTTAATCCAGCCTATAGGTAGCTTTTTCCGTGACTCCAACTCTCAATGAAAACACCAATTGTTACGGACCTTGAGGTCACCACCCCAAATATTAGCTCAAAGGGTGAGAGTATCTTGAGGTCACCTTAATGTGGGACTTGTAACACAGACATCTGCATCAAAGAATTTACATGAACAATAAAATAAGCGTTGCAGTTTATAGAGATCTATTGTATGCACTAATTTGTTATTGGTGCTGTTGTCATTCATATAGTTCTTACTTCTATTTATGTTATCAGGAAACCAAACCTGAAAGACCTCGACCAAGGACAACGGCATCAACTAATAGTGTTGCGAGTGCTACAGCTAAGACAAGATTTTGGCAACCCTCTTTACAAAGCATCTCAGAGGCTGCCAGCTGATTTGTGTTTTCAATCTTATACCCACATGTGGTGTGAGGGACAGAGGACCAACTGAGGAAAAAAAAAGAAAAAAAAAAAAGAACTCGATGATTGCTGAGTCATGTGGAAATTAAATATAGTATATTGAGCTTCATGGAAGGCCAGAAACAAATAAGATGATAAATTCTCCTCTGGGTTCATGTTCTTGGATAATTGTGTAAAGTTGACACATGCAATATCACTTAATGTAATTTAGCTATTACTCTAAAATCTACCTAATCCAAATTCGAGATAAGAATATCCTCTTCATTCATTTTATCCCGTCCCTATAACTATATTGAGCACACGAGGTAACATCATATGTTTAATTTTTTCAGTATCGTTTTTAGGAGGAGTTTAAAGCTTTAATTTCGTGACCCTCTCCGAATCGGATTAGTCGCGAAGCGATGAACCAATTGGAATATCTCCAAAAAAATATTGGGCACATGAGGATTAGTCCTAGCCACCGGTGAACCATCATCGTTAACGTCGCTGCTAATCAGTCACCTCTATCACACACTACTGCAAACAACACCTGTTGTTACCGTTTATGTTGCACCAACACAGGACACGAGATACGACGCGACACGACACTCCGACACGTTAATTCTAAAAAATATTACATTTCGACAGGTCAGGACACGTTTCGATATTATATAATATTTTTAATTTATGTAGTGTATATTATATTTAATATTCAATAATTTAACAAGAAAATTAGGCTAAACTTATAATACCCATCAATTTTACAAAGAAACATAAATATCTCAAATGTTTATATTAAACTCAATAAAATTGTAATCGTAATCTAACGAATCTAATAGTTGGAACTCAAAATGCAATGCAACGTAACCTTTGAACATTTTTTGAGTCTTTGCAACGGATATTAGAGTGTCGGGAAATGTCGAAGTGTCGGGAAGTGTCAGACACGACACGTCAAGATTTTTGAAGTGTAGGTGCTTCATAGGTTACCATATTACAATGAGCTACTGACCATCACCACTACCATCGATAAGCCCCCACACATACCACGAGTCATCCACCACTTTCACCAACCACCTTCGCCTGCCGCCACTAGACCAACCACCATCACCATTATTGCCATCAGTCGCCACCACCACTTCCATGCAACCCCAGCTTCAACCATTGCACCAACCACTACCCCTGGCCAGCTACCATTATTGCCTTCATCGTTGTTGGCCACCGCTACCACTACCAACCAGCCACCACCTTAGGCCACGACCACCCCCAACCAACATGCATCATGCACCAATCATCACCGTCATCATTAGCCATAGGCACCAGCTCCCACAACTGCCACCACCACCATTTTAATTGGCCACCCTACCCTGTCTACCACCACCGCACCAACCATGTCACTAACCACCGACTAGAGGTGGCAATATGGATTGAACCTGACTTATCAGCCCACCAAAACCGGTCAGGTTTGATTACACATCTCAACCCACCAACCCACCTCAACCTACTTTGCCTGATTGCGGGTCAAAACGGGTTCGAGACGGGTTGGGGTGGGTTGGCCCATTGGGTATTTTTTAGGTTGTATTTTATTTGTCACTACACTTTTGTGATATCTAATTTTTTTTTAATCTTAGTACAACCCTAGAAAAAATAAAGAAGAAAAACTTTATTTATGACAAAGACTATTCATATATGGAGGCAAAAATAAATACTAAAGAATGTCTGACTGAATATTAGAATATATTTAGGCTTGAGATTAGGAAAAAAACTAAGGGGAGTGTGAAATGAAAACAAATAATATTATAAAATTCATAAAATATAATTTTTATTAATTTTTAATTTATTTTTAAGCGGGTTAACTTGTCAACCCACATAAAACGGGGTAGGTTGAGCTTTTCAACCCACATTCAAGAAGCGAGGCGAGCCGACCCATTTTGCCACTTCTTCGACCCTAAAAATTAAAATCGAATAATATTAGTTTACCAAAATAACTAATAGGGTTCGCTTTTTCAGCAGTTACTGCAGACAAGTTATCTGCAGTAAGCCCAATACGACGTCGTTTTGAGAAAGAAATCATGGTGTTTTTGTAATTTTAATTTATTTCAGGGTAATAATAGTCTTTATATTTATAATTTTTTAAGATTTTAATACCAAAACGACGTCGTTTTGAAAATAAATGCAGATAACTTATCTGCATTAACTGCAGAAACATTTTTCCCTAACTAATATTACAAATGATAGTTAAAGTAAATAAAAAGGAAATAGGTTATACTTACTCTCTCTTTTTAACCACCTCTTACAACTAATTGGTTGGATCAAAATCAAGTCAATGGCTATCACTTGATGTTATTTTATAACCTTTGATCCAACGATAATAAGACTGGTTATAAGTGGTGGTAAGAAAAAAAAATGATAAGTATAACCTCCCCCAATGAAAAAAGTGTACATATTTAAATTTATTATTTGTGTAAAGTTTTTAATGTATTTTATATTTTAAATATAAATTTGATAATATTTAATAAAAAATATAAATTAATTATATTATTTGAATAAAATTATTCATTAAGATATACGGGCATAAATTAGTCACAATGATAAGTTATGTTGCACGTACACTGACATAGGATAGGAGACACGATACGACATGACACTCTGACACGTTAATTCTAAAAAATATTAGATTTCAACATGTTATGACACATTTTGATATTAAATAATATTTTTAATTTATTTAGTATATATTTTATTTAATATTCAATAACTTAAAAAAATAATAAACTAAACGTATAATACCATGTCACTAATTATTGCATGTTCCAATATATATTGTGATAAAAATTAAAAAAAATATATATGGAAAGAATTTCCTGAGGCACAAGGTTTACTTTTTGAAACACTTGCACTCGAAGTGGCTGGGTGGAATATATCACTTTAAACATCCATGACACCCTAGAGATATCTTTTCGTTGCATTAGAAGTAGAAAACTTTTTTTTGTAGCCCGAAAAAAAAAGTAGAACATTTTTTCTCATGGTCCATTTCATTATTTGTTCCTCGACTTTCTGTCTATATATAGCTGGTAAAGCAAAAGACTGCCTTTGTGCTGTCTTTTCGCTTTTTTTTATTTTCTGACTTGATCTGATGATATTGTTCCAAGTCATTATATAAAACTTTTTTAAGTGAAAATAGAGATGAGGAGGCTACTACATTACACTCCATAAGCTGAACCAGTGATACTAAGATGTTGGTGTAAATTTACAAAAATTTACAGTCGTTATAGAAATATTCTTATAAGAAGTGGTATATATGAACTAAAGTTCGGGAACAAGTGGAGTTATTATGTTTATATTCAATGCTCTATGTTTCAAGCTCTAAATTTCAACAATGTAACGAATTATAAAAGTGATAAATGTTAGATACCTCTTAAATGAATGAAAAATGGTATATGCATATATAGATGAGAAATGAGTTATAACTTTATATTCTTTATCTCATTGCTGTGAGTGAGGAAACACATCACAACGTGTATTGTGGTAAACTATGTAGGGAGTGAGAGATCCTCCGCTATGAAATCTATTATTCTCGCGAAAGATGGAAGAGTAATTGCTTAAGGGGCGATTAGGAGAGGAAAAATTTTTTTTACCAAGAAAATATAATTATTGTGAAAATGGTGAGAAAGTGATTTTTCTCAGAAAGTTAAAAAAAAAAGTTGTTTGGTAGTTCGAAATATTCCGAAAAAAATTTGGTATAAAATTGTTACAAGTTTGAGTTTGCTGGAGAAATCAAAATACCACCATCAAGGTGGTATTCCCAAGTGGACATTTTCCTTCGTTTTTATACTACAAAAATTTTGCCCTCAAAATTTTTTTCCTAGGCAAATTTTTCCTATTCGGTACCAAACATGATCATTTGTGAATCCCATCTACCGCTTTCTTAATATTCTAAAAAAAATTCACCTACCAAACACTACTTAATGAACCTCTAAAAGAGCCTACCTTTGGCATTGGCGTGTGAGGCTGGTCCAAAACATATACTCATATATTTCTTATCAGGCATAACTTTTAGGGAAATAGATGTATCATGTTGTAGGAAATTAGTTGTGTCATGCTATAGATACAACTAATGTGGACCCCACCACTTTTAAAATAAAAAGAAAAGAAAAGAAAAGAAAGTGACGGGGTCCACATTGGTTGTGTCTATAGCATGACACAACCAATTTTCTACAACATGATATATCTATTTCCCTAACTTTTAATAAGGAAAATCAAATTTAATCCAAACGTATTTAAGCTTTAAGCCACACAAATAAAACTTAAGAATAAGACAATTGCAACCGGCTCTCACCACTCGTGCACTTCCTACGCATGAAAGTTTGTTTCACTGCACGAGGAGACCCCAGATTGTATCAAACAATACATAGAATTCCTTCCATTCGGCGCACCAAGCTTTTGCTTTTTAACTTTTTTTCTCCATAAGTGCCTTTGTTAATGTTTAAAAAATCAATAACATCACGCAGTTCGTCCTTTCCTTCTTTCTTTTTTGTTTGTCAATATCCCTTCGTTTCCATTCTTTATGATGAACAATCATGGAAGATGCGCATAGATAATTGAGCCAAAAATACCTTTTCTCTATTCATATTAGATATGGGGAATTTAAACATTGTCTAAAATTAACTTTCATAGAGGTTTTCTTTTTATGAAAAATTACATACATTTTACCAATAAAGGTGAGCACAGTTGATTAAGGGTTTAATTCGTACCCATCAATAGCGTGGTGATGGATGTGGGTTCAAACCCCGTTGGCCAATTTGAAGATTTTGTTGCTGGGTGATATGTAATCTTTATCGAAAATTCTCAAAAGAGATTGGAGGTCTCTACTGACCCTAGTGAGATACTGGTATCTAATCTCACTTAAACTTTTATTTACTAAAAAACAATTTAGATACATTTCTAATAGGGATTGACAAATATTTTTCCCTTTCTAATATGATCCACGTATCCTTATTTTCAATTTGAGTGCAAGCTATAATAGGCCGTGCATATTTTAAAATTTCTCATAACTACCATTTTAATTTATGAATTTATATTATCTCTTTCACAACACAGTTCCGCAAGAAGATGATCTCTGACTCTCTTACTTTTTCTCATTCTCTCTCTCTCTCTCTCTCTCTTTTTTAGTTTCCATGGAGGTATTCTCACTCAACTTTCTCTAGCACTTTGTTCTCGAAGTATACCTCTAAGACTAGCTCTTCATTAAAATAGAGAGTGTATTGAATCATTTTCATCGAAGAAAAGATAAAACTAATCTCCTATCCGAAAATCATCATCTATGCCCACATATCCTTGGGGCACAGTTCACTTACCAACTGAGCCCAACCCTAGGATTTTTTTCTCATTCTCTTTATTGCATACTCTTTGTGTATTGGTAAGAATGAGAGTGAAATAATTAGAAAGCGGGTGTCTATGATTTTAAGAGCTAATTCATATTTCATATTTCATATTTCTACAAACAAAAAATATCCTTAGAAGCATGGAAGATCAATCATCACAAGGGAGCATAATTCATACTTCATAAACAAAAAATATCCTTAAGAGTTGACCGAGAATGTATGACTTTTTGCGAAGTTTCATGAGGCATTGCATTTAGGAAATAAAGTCAACTTGCATGCCATTCATTATGAAATCCTTTCTGCTGGCTGCATCAACTAATCAAGTAAATTTAAAAAAGCATGTATATATAACCCTATATCTCAGGCACAAGTCCTACAAGCGGGAGATAAGAGTTGTAGCGGACTAACTACCTCAAAAAAGTTATGTATATATTGTACATTCACATTTCACAGCAAGCATTAAATCAACTGACTACTAAGCGCTATCTTTTTCCTTTTTCTTTCTTTTAGTGTAAGTTGAGACTTCAACCAGTCCATGATAATTAAATGAACAGGGTTGATCCTATTTTTTCCTACCTGTCCATTAAACTCAAAATTATGAAGAAATACGTTCTACAGATACAAGTCTTGAAATTTGTAAAAGTGAAAACTAGAATTCAGCAGGACATTTACTGAGAGGACCAGATGTGATTATAGTAATGAAAAATACAAACATCATAAAGCTTCAAGCAGAATGCAGATGGGCCTGCCATATGATGAATTGGAAAAACAAGCCCAAATATCTACTAATTACTTCTCAATTCTCAACCTCAAAATTTGTCGCACAAAAACAATCACATATATGATAAACAAAGAGAAATGTGGATTTAAACAATGGCATCTTATGCCTGAAAAAGAGTCACCATCTAGACTTCTATTTCCACTTTAACTTGAAAGTTGCATGGTATTACTCAGTTGTTGTGTTCTCAGTCTCCCCTTCAACATTTTCTTGCTTGTCAAGTTGCCTGAAAGTTGTTGTGTTCTTAGTCTCCCCTTCAACATTTTCTTGCTTGTCAAGTTGACTGAAAGTTGTTGTGTTCTTAGTCTCCCCTTCAACATTTTCTTGCTTGTCAAGTTGACTGAAGTTACCTTTCTGCTTGAACAATTGAGTATGGTGGTGCCTACAATAAAGACGATGTTCGTGGGCCACATAATTTGATGGGCTAATTACACATCCTCCATGGGTGCACCTGAAACATGCCTTATGGTAAGATGCTCCATCAACAGCTACCTGAAAAAGAACAGTAGAGAGTGCCATCATGAATATAGGACACAGTATGATGTAAAACACTAGTATTGTTTCAAAAATTAACAACATCTCATAGTTTAAAAATAGCTCCCTCACTCCATGTCACTAGATTTTTATTTGATTGTTTATTTTAATTGTGTTAAATTTTGGCTCTTTTATTTCTTTATTCCTCACTTCACAAATAACTTTTAGCTCAGATTTCCTATGGTTCTAGCTATCATTTGCTTGATGGGCTCTCTGTATTGATTATCGCAGGTTTAATTTTTATTTTCATCTCTGCTTGAGCCAAATTTAAGTCTAAAGTTCTTACAGCTGCTAGACTTAGATCAAAAAGAGGAACACCATATTCCACTTCTTTGGGATACCAATCAAATGATTTTTGTGAGGGGAACTAAGTAAATATGTCTATGTTAATAATGTTGAGCAAAGAAGTAATAGACATCTTATGTCTTCACATGTATAGACGTCTAATTTTGATGAAAGCATGCAGAAAACATGAATTGATAGATTCTCGGACTCCTTGTTTTACTCTATATAATAATTTAGAAATAACAAGATTTCAACAGCAAAGATCATTTTCACTAGATATGAAAAAATTGGTAAAAATAGTTATATACCTTTTCAATTGGGTACACTGTTTTCTTGCAAGCAAGACATTTTTCCTGAGTTCCGGCAAACAAATTTGAAACCTTGCTATTGGTTTGGACCTGAAGAATTCCAGAGAGAGAGAGAGAGAGAATTTACTAAATGGGAATCAAACATAAAGGTATAAAAACCTTCATTTAAAAACACTAAATAAGAATCCTAAGGATGAGAAAGGATATTTTGCATATTAATAAGATTTGAAAAACCTGATCGGTAGATCTTTCACGTCTAGCAGTTCTTGGAATACCTACAAGTAGTAAAAATAAAATCTAAGAGGAAATAAGAGGAAACAAACTAGGAAACAGGCTGAACTGAAAAATATACTAGAACTTTAAAAGTGTTTATGTATTGGAAACAACTAAATGACAACAATTCACCTTCGAAACTTTTGTCCAAACTGCCAGTCATCTTAAAGAGTTGATCAAAATGAGGCTTACAGTATAAAACGCCCTCAAAGGAACAAAAATTACTCAACTGCAGGGATGCATGAGGAAAAGAGGATTAAAGATATATCCATCACATAATCTTTCTCTATTTCAAGCTTGAAGCTTCTAAAAGAAACAACCAGAAAGTTGACACAGAATCCCAAACTTTCATACAAATAGAAATTGGCTCCTATTTTGGGTGACTGGCTTACAGATTCTAATTTTCTTTTTGAAATCTAAAATTGATTGAATCGAAGGAACACTTTGGAAATGAAATAATGAATAACTGCAATTTAATGTGCACCCCAAACACAAATATCGCATTGAATAAGACATAGCAATTAGATTATTGACATGGTATGCTTTGCAGGTTCAACTTCAACCAAAATGTTGCAACACAATCCCAAACTTTCATCCAAACAGACATTGGTTTCTATTTCATGTGACTGGCTTACAGATTCTAATTAAAATAAATAAATATATAACGAATCAAATGGATACCATGGAAATGGATAGTTGTAATTTAATGTGCATCCTATTTTCAAATATCACTGAATAAGAGAGCAGTTAAATTAATGGTATGCTTTGCAGGTTCAAAGGTGATTCTTAAATTTCCGTAAGCAAAATAAACAAATAAATATAGCAAAGTGAGATTAGTTTCTTTTAGGTCACCACAGATGAAAGGACAACAGAATACCAAGTGTCCAAGTGTGATGTTGGATCATGCCAAAAGACGTTCAAATGCATGATCGATCATACAAGAGCAAGAGATTCTCTGGTTACAAAAAATATTTGGAACTGCAAATGACATATGCAGAAGAGTGTGAAGCATTCTTTGAAGAATAGAAGAAAAAACCAAAAAGGGGTGAATAGCAGCAAGATAACCTTAACTTCATTTAATTAAAATATCAAGCCTTGATTCCAACATTTAGGTCAATCAGGAACCTCAAACAATGCATCCTTACTTCCTCATTCTATGTCAATCTTGATTTTCCTCAACATCTAATAACTATCTCCCGTCCTCAATTTTATGATTAAACCACTCATTTTCTCTAACAATCCGGTTCAAATTATGCACAAAGCATTATATAATAATTACTGGAAACAGAACAAATTTTGTAGTAGGTATCCTCATCAAGTTTCCTTATGAAACACTAACCATCATGCAATGAAGCATACAAATCGTCATTAATCAAAAAAGAGAACCAAGTGAATCAACTAATTGTGGACACCAAACTGATAAAAACAAAAAAGATGTGGGTTTTCTGAATAAAGCGGGTGTGGGGATGAAAGCCAAACGCATCATACATATAAAGAAAACACTGAATTTAAGAACATGTTCTCTGGTGTTTTTTGAAGAAAAGAAAAGAAGTGAAGTCACCTTGAGGGTACCCTTGCAGTGGTGACATCTGAAGCAAGATTTATGATAGACCTTGTTATCAGCAGTGAGCTGATCCACCAAGTACACTGTCTTCTCGCATGCTTTACACTTTTGGGTAGTGCCTGCAAATGATGCCATCTCAAATTGAAGAATCCAAAATCTCACTTGGATAAGTATTCAATAAGTAGAGAAGAAGAAGAAGAAGAATCCTTCTCTTGCTACCAGGTTTTTCTTTTTTATTTTTATTTTTCAAAAAGAATTGTGTGCCAAATTCAAAAAAAAACAGCTCAGACTCAGACAAAGTCAGAGGAACAGATACAAATTGCTGATCATGGGTCCTACCAAATTTTCAAACTTAATAATAGTAGAGACAAAAATATAAATAAAGAATAAAAATAAATCATATAATCACAATAATGGCAGAGTTTTTGTGACTTGGAACTTCCAGGTGACGGTTTTGGGCTGCGTAAAATGACAATGTTACCATCTAAGACATTGACCGCAGGTATCTCACATTCAGTGGGCTGGTACTAGTCACATGATTATCCGTAGATTCGAACATATCGCGATGTTTACGAAACTTGTCTTGTTTTCACCAACCTTTTCAGTTTTCAGGAGTGCGTGTCCCTGCAGTATGTATTGATCGTTACTCGATTATCTGAAATATCAAGAGGTAATAATAATAAAGGTTGCTCAATTCTGTTCTCGTAAGATACGGAATCGTATTCTGAAATTAAAAAAAAAAAAAAAATTCAAGATCCGGAAGTAGATCTTGATAGAAGTAAATGTTGCTACAAATTTTCTGATCTGCAGCCACATAAAAATTAATAATAATAATAACAATAGAATAAGGGGTAAATAGTTTTTTTTTAAATATTACTCTAAATTGTTTGAAATTAAGTGAAATTGTTATTATTTCAATTCAATCAAATGAAAATTAATTTTCATTCACTTTTTAAAATCAAACCATTTTTTCAGTTAGAAGTTAAAATCGAACCATTTCAATTAAGAATCTGGACATATATAATGACTAGTGAAATTCAATCTCTACATATATTTAATTATCCCCCCAGTCTATGTAGCATCGATATTGATACGGGACATGTGACACGATATGACATAACACTCCGACACGTTAATTCAAAAAAATGTTAGATTTTGACACGTTAGGACACGTTTTGATATTAAATAATATTTTTAAATTATATAGTGTATATTATATTTAATATTCAATAATTTAACAAAAAAATAAAACTAAACTTATAATATTCATCAATTTTGCAAAGAAATATAATATATCCCGAATATTTATATTAAACTCAATAAAAAAGTAATCGAAATTCAATAAATCTAATAGTTGAAACTAAAAACTCAACGCAACGCAACCTTTGAACCTTTTTTTGAATTTCTATAACACTTGTTAAAGTGTCGAGGAGTGTCGGAGTGTCGGAAAGTGCCGGACACGATACGTCAGAATTTTTGAAGTGTCGGTGCTTCATAACTCTCAGTTCTCACCTCCTCTCCCGAGTCATAGGTCACGATAAATTATTATTAATGGGTTATTTTATACCTATCATAATAAATGAGTCTAATATCATATCTAAACTAAAAATCATAAAATATATATTGAGTTTATGAGTTCTCTCATATATAAATTTTAGTTAGCTTATTATTAACTTATATGAAAGTTTATGAGTTCTTTCATATATAAATTTCACTTATTCTCTATTACATTTAAATTTCACTTATTCTCTATTACATTTGAATATCTTAATATCCTATTAGAAGACCTCTCAAGAATCTCACTAGGGCCCTTTCTCTAGGCTCACAAGGTAAGTTTTATGCCTTATTCAAAATAAATTAAAATCAAACTTTAGAATAATAGGTGATAAATCATAGTCATTCATTTGAATAATAATATATCTAACGGCTATTTTTTAATGTTCCACCGGTCCACCGTATACCCGCGGCCTTAGAGAATCCTCTTGCATTTTTGTCAGGCATCTTCGCCAACAAGACAAACTTACATATTACAAAATGGAAAAGGTTCGTCGTTATGATTGTACATTGGTTTTTGTACAATTCTTGTCCTCGATCTCAAAACTATCGTGAGTCGTGACCCTATAAGAAATTGTGGAAATACTTCTTCCCCGCTTGAAATTTACACATCCCCATCGCATCTATCATATATCTGGGTAGAAAAACGAAAGAGAGAACATTTAAATGCATTTTTAAAAAAAATAAAGAGTAAATTATTTTTTTGGATCCTCAATAAAATTTACAGGGTCCAGTTTAATCTATTAGAAAACAAAAAAATCTACTTGTGTCTGTCTGAATTCCAAAATAAACTCATGTTAGTTCTTTTAAGGGACTAATATAGGTCTTCTTTAAATTCAGAAGATCACGATTTTGACTAACCGAATCTATTTTGAAATTCAGAAGAACCACGAGTAAATTTTTTTTAAAGGATTATATTGGACTCCGTAATTTTTGTTGAGAACCAACCTTTACTCTGCAATAAAAGATAGTTATAAGAAATAGAGTAAAGCCTCTTTTGAACTCCTAATAAACAACAATGTCTCTACTTTCGTCCCTTACAAAAAAAACTTAACTTTTAATCCCTCTACAATTCCAGTTCTTTGAAAATATGGTCCAAAAAAATTTAATAAAAATCCAATTTAGTTCCAAAAAATAACTAATATAGGTCTGTTTTTGTAAGAGACGAAAATTGAGACCGTATTTTTTTGTTAGGAACCCAAAAAAGACTTTATTTGAAGAAATAAGTTTATGGGGTTAAATGTAGAAATAAAATTTAAAAAAAGTTTAGTGATTAGTGTCATTTGGCCATATACGGAAAAGAGAGAGAAAGAAAAAAAAAAATTCATTTACCTTTATGTACGTAAAAGATATATTTATTCCACACACAAAAAAAAAGATAAAGTACTACTCTTATGTAGTTGGCTTTTTGTTAAAAACACGCCTCTCATCTCCACCGTGTTTCACCATTACGTATTATTGTATAAATTTATATTATTTTTTACTTTTTAGTAATATCTTTAAGAGTTTTATACCAAACAATATATTCTTACAAAAACTATTTTTTATCTCCATTTCAACCCACTCATCTTTTATAACCAAAAAAAAAAAAAAAGATAATGCTTTCGAAATATACTTTATAGACGACTAATTCTATATTGGTTATCCAAACACACACACTTGATAAAAAAAAAAAATATTTATCAATACTCTTTAAAATATTGGTTATCGACTCATCATTTAAAATTGAAGGTATCGGAGCATTTACAGTAAAATATAAAATTGAAGGTCACGTCACAGTATTCCTTCATTATTTGGTCTAATTGGCATTGCCATACTCTCTTTATAAACGGTAATTATGAATTATTGCTTGCATATAATTTTTTTACTCCACCTTCTAGTAACTTGCATGATGTTGACAATTCATCTGAACTGTAGAAACTAGGGTTGGCAAAACGGGCAAACCCGGCTCAACCCAAAAAAAACGAGCCGGGTTAGGGTTGGCTCGAAAAAAAAAACGAGTCAAGAAATTCAACCCAGCCCGACTCGAGTCGGGTTAAGGTTGGCTCAGAAAAAAGCTCACGGGTTGGCCCAAAAAAAGCTCGCGAGTTAGCTCAAAATGTTGCCAACGGGTTGGCTCGCGGATTGCTGAGTGTCCAGTGAAATGAACTGAGCAACCCATTTCTTTGATCCAAGTGAAATCCTGCAACAAACTCATTGACTGAGAACTCTACCATGTCAATGAGATTCACATCTCAATACAGAACAAGAAAAAAATAAAATAAAGTTGAAACCTTTTAAGTCAGCACGAGTTGCTGGTGAGCCATCTCTCTTGAACACAACTTTCCCATTATTAACAGCAAGAACCCAACAATCCTTGGATAACTTCTTAGCATAGTAGTTAGCTACAGAAGCAGATGGCCGGATTTTATGAAGACCTCGAGGTGTTCCAACTATAACATAAGTTGCAGAATAAACATTTGCTTTTCGAACCAGAATGGATATGGGTAGGGCAATTTTTTATATTATTAATTTTTTTAAAAAAAAAACCCAACCCACGAGCTGGCCCGTTTGACCCGCGGGCTAGCTCGTTTTTGTCCGGGTTGGCTCGGGTTGACTTGACTCAGGTTGGCAGCTCATTTAGGCCAACCCAACCCGGCTCATTTGTGACGGGTTACGAGCCAACCCGACAGGTTAGCTCGTTTTTGCCAGCCCAGTAGAAACTAGAAAGCGATACTGGTTTAAGGAATTTTGTTTCAACAAAATGAAATGCTTGCAGCTTAATGAAAATAAACCAATCATTTTTAATTCAGGCATTAGTCAAATCAAAATGAAGCTCCATGAGATTTTACTAGTAGTACTATTCCTTTCCGAAATAATGATTGGTGCTACCAAGCACATCATCACGTCGTGTGATGTAACCTATTAAAATGTGAGCATGCAAAATATACTGAGATCAACTTTAATCAGATGTTAAAAACTCCGCAAATAAGAGGTGCATTATTCTTCCTTCCCCTCCCTTAAGAAAGAGAGTCAGCCTAATCAGCCTCGCGTAAACATTTCAGGCAAGGCTTTGATCATAGAAATGCATTAAAACAACTCTCAGATCATCACAACAACCCCTTCAACTAACTGCTTACCATTTGATGATAGAATAAGTTCTGTCTATTATTCGGACCTAAAGCCACAAATTTATAATCTGCCAGTAAACATTATCATCAGAAAGAGCACATCTTGAACGATGAAAATACTATTAATGCACAAGCAATTTGGGTTCAAATGCTTTTCTGCTTATTCTAACATGGCTAATCATAAAGTCCAAATTGTTGCCATAAAAATACAATGCAACAGAAAACTAGCATCCCAATATTCACTTCGTTCTGCACTTTTAGCATGTTACTGTTTCCTAGCTTCTTCTCTCGTAGCTGCTCTTACATATATTTCGTAACAGCATCCTGAAACATCATAAAAAAGGATACAAGAATATTTAAAGGATGGAACAGTAAGAGAAAAATAAATCAAGAATGGAATTGCGAAACATTATCTAAGTCGCGCAAATTCAAATCCATACTAAATTAACACACCTCAAATTTAAACCATACTATAGTAATAACTAGAAAATAAGAGCTAGTTCCTACTCAGAGAACAATAGTCAATTTATAAAGCGGGTAGGAAGTAAAATAGTTAACAGTGGGAATAAAGAAATTAACTAGTATTTACTGGTATGAATGTTTCAAAATCAGAAGTACAATATTACAGACTAATGTATGCTCTCAGTTAAACATGGTTAATGCAGAATATTCAGCGCATACAGAAATGTCAATTCATGAGTTTTGTTTTGATGTTATTCAAATCTGTTCCTGGCTGTATTGTGGCCAATGTCAAAGACAGGAAAGGTGTTCATGATGACTATGCAGTAGCTGAGAATTCAAGATTTCAACTACAAGCGAAAAAATTTCAAAAATTTTACGAACATTTGAAGCATCTTAACAGCCAGAGAATACTAGGTAACTTTGTCACTAGTGAATTAGTGATTATAGCTATAGGAGTAAAGCCAACCAGACGCACACTTGATAGTTTCAAACAATAACTGGACTTGTGCTAGTGAACTAACCTTATTGCTCGATGTTAAAGTTGTTATGATTTAAGGAAATGATCAATGTAGAAACGAAACGTATACACAGAATATACTCAGTAAGAAAAATGACCAATTGACTCAATTACAAACTGGCCTTAAAATAATGACAATATCCAAAATGCTCCATCCCCAACTATTAAAGAGAAACACATCCTTTTTTCAATGGTATTTCTTTCAGAAAAATTCCTCATAGTATACTTTTCATAATCTATGATATTCAGCAACCCAATTATTTGTGAAGTGATCTTGTTTCAGCAATTAAACTGAAAAGGCATACTGGATTTCCAAATCCCTAGGGACTTTGCATATCCAAACATCTAATCTGGCCTAGAACATTTCCAATTAAGCTGTTTATAAGTTCGATGTAAGAGAAACCAATTTCAAACACAAAAATTGGAAAGATGTATTTTTCCTTTGAGCCAAAACACTCAACATTAAAATGACTCCCCAGTGCACATTTAGCTGGTTTGTTTTGTTTGGCAACCCCCCCCCCCCCCCCCTTTTCTCTCCCCCGTCTCTCCAACAACCTGGTAAGAATAAATCATTTGCTTATAAAACAGCATTAAAATATTTTACAAATATATTACAAAAAAATTATTATGGTTATCAACGTTAGGTTATTACAACTACACTGGTAAGTTTTATATTTAGAATGATATGAGAATGAGAGTCAGGCCAACAAATTTGAAATGAAACGAGTATGACATTCAAAGGCAAAATCATGAGAGGCCCACTCAATGTTTTAGCAACTACCACAGTTCATATCTCAGACTGCTTCATCAGCACATAAACTGTAATGACAAAACTGGGTTCAAACAAACAAAATCTTTCAGCTCATTAAGAAGTGATTTCAAGCCTGAGAGATAATAAAGCACCCCTTAGGGTTTCATTTTTCCACATCAAAGATATCATAATAATAATTGCATTGTGCACGTAGACAGTCAAAAGTAAAATCAAAACAAATTGTCATTCAACTTCCAGCCAAAATCACAACACCCCAAAGGGTCCAAATCCTCACTCCTTTCATCAAAATAAGGGTTAAAAGACAGCATACCTGCAACAACAACAATTGTTAAAACATCTCCAATTCTTTTCAGTTGTTTCACACTCTGCTTGTAAGATTTGAATGGCTTCAGAGCTGAATCTTCTGCCAAGAGCTGCAGACATAATCCAACCAGTAAAATTGAATGCACAAGCAAACGAAAGAAATCATAAAAATGATGCCAGCTAAGTGAGACAAACATGCTCAGACCTCAAACAGATTACGCATCTTAATTGAAGTTCAGCAATAGATTAGCAAAAGTTCAAAAAAAGGAAAAGAAATTTTTTTTTCAACATTATAATGAGTAGCAAATTCTCTACCTATTCAATGCAATATTGAAGCCAATGACAGGATAAGAAACTCATTCATGCAATTTGCTTAATCCTGAATTCCATATTTGGTTCAAAAGTGAATCTACCAAAAAGTGTAAGAAAAACAAACCACCAATTTTACTAGACAACTTAAAGCAGTAAGCAAAAAAAGCTTTAAGGATCCATTTGGTATCCCTTAAAAATAATAGCGAAAAATCCACGGATGAGTCTTTTTACGAAAAAAACCCGTTCCTAAATTTTTTTGCCTACCCAATTATATGGTTAAATCAGGGTAACTACAAGTGAAAATATATGATCTAGAAAGTAGAAACACCAATTTATTTGAATCGTGCAAAAATTACCAAAAAAAAAAAAAAACGCTTAAGCCTTACAGCTTTTTCGCGAGACCCGGGTTCGATGTGGAATCGACGGCGCGAGAGAGAAACCGAATCTCCAGTCTTCTGCTATCTCAAAAGGAATTTTAAATATAAGAAAAAAGAATCACAGAGAAAAGGAGAAAACCGAAACTCTACATGAAATTGATAATGATCATTATTTGATATTTTAGAAAAGAAATAAAAAAGAAAAGATGAGGATACCTGGGAGTGAGATCGCAAATGGGAAGCAATGGTTGTTTTGTTCAACAAGAATGCCATTTTTTTTTTTTTTGGCTCGTTTTGATTGGAGTTCAGAGCTCCGGGAAGTAACAAACCTCTAAGTAAAGGAAATGTTCGCAGAACGAACGAACAACCCTCGATGAGTCAAAATCGGAATTTTGATTATAATATTTTGGAAAGGGATATTTTGAATCCGGATAAATCTTATTCCTCGTCTCGGTCCATGATTTATGTACATCCAATGTTTAGGGTTTATGTACATCCAATGGTTGTCAACTTGTTGTGATTTATTTAAAATTAATAATTAATCAGTTAAGGAAAAAACATTTTAATAGATATAAAATAATATTTTTTATTTAAAATTTAAATTAAAAAAAATTCACTTTCTCCCACATGATTTTCATTCTTTGTGTCTGTTTCTATCTTAAAATGACATAATCCTTTAAAAGGACAAACATCACACCCATAAAATAACTTAATAAATTATAACGGTTAGATGGACGAAAATATGACTAAGATAGAGAGCAAGACTTTTAAATTTTACATATAATCAAAAGATACCTTCATATATATATATATATATATATATATATATATATATATATATATATATATATATATATATGAAAAATATTTGTCATTCTAAAGGATATAATGTTATATCATTTTAGATCCTAATCGTTAATTTTCGTCAATTAACGATTATAATTTATTGGTCAAATTTATGGGGTCAAACTAATTATTAATTAATTAATACATTTGATCGAATAAATTATAACCGTTAATTGATGAAAATCAATTGTTAGAATCTAAAATGATATCATATTATATCTTTTAAAAGTAAAAATATTTTTTTGTATATATATATATATATATATATATATATATATTATTTTTTATATGTTTTAGTGTCTTGCTCATTTTTAATATAATTTTTACTTCAAAAAAGATAAATTAATCTTGTCTTTATGTAATTATGTATATGCATAGGTATTCTTAATTTCATTTTTGTGGTTTATTGCCTTATAAAATATAGAGATTAAATTGAAAATATATGTTATCTATGAAGACAAGATATATAATATTTTAAACCTCACAGATATACTCATTTTTCATTTAATTCCTCCATTTTTTTTATTTTTATTTTTTGGTAAACTAATTCCTCCATTTTAATGTATATGTGTTTACCCCCAATAAATATTTTTATAATAAGTAACTAATATCATTTCAATTGTATGAGTATTTTTCCTGATCTTAAAAAACATACGCATTGTTCTATCTAATCTAAGGTATGTAAAATTACATGCTATCGAACTAAAGTGGAGTATTATAGAAAACAAAAATTTTCTATAATACGTAAAGGGCCAAATTACAAAGTTTTGCTAAGGCATCTGATTGAACTGGACCGGGCCAATTTACTAGGCTAATCTAGACCTTTGCAAGCCGTGAGCCGAATGGATTGGCCCACGGGCTCATTGTTTTTTCAAAGAAAAATATTTCACTTTATAATTAGCCCAATTTTGATGCGTTACTGAAACAAGGCAACACATAATGGCTTAAGGCATAAACAAGATAATATTTGTCATTATCTGTGTATAATTGAAAATATTAAAAAAAAATGCTAATGCAATAAAAAAGAGGTAGTTCAGTAGATAATTTAAAAAGAAAAGTAATCGTCAGTGTTGATATAAGCTCTTAAATCTATCTACTTCTGAAAGATGTAGGGTGTCACCATGCATGTTAGTGTTTCAAAAAATTTTATTACCAAACTAATCTCTTAAAAAATTAAATTGCATCACATTTTTCTTCTAAATATTTTTTATTATTAAATTAATATCTTAAATACAGAAATCAATTCGTAAATTCGTCATGTAAATGTTACTACATTAGATCTTTAAAGAGCTAAGTCTGTGTTTGATTAATTTAATTTGTGGCTAAAAAATCTTTTTTTTAATAACTTCTTGAGAATTTTATTTTTTTTTTATAGAAAAAGGATCATATATTATATAATTAATCGGTTTTCAAGTATTTTTTAATTTGATAATTTTTTGTAAAAGAGTAATGTGATAATAATATAATAATCGAAAATTAATTTATTGATGAAGTTTTAAAAAGTAATGTATGGAAACGTTAATATTTTAAGTAAAAAGGAGCCTTAGAGAGAGAGAGAGATAGAGTTGGCTTCAGCTTCCAAATTCGTGGCTTGAAGGAGAATCAGTGTCATGAATTTGGGTGACGCTGAAGTTGCCACGTATTGTAAGCAGTTGCGGTTAAGAATGAAGAGCTTAACTATATTGTGTCTGGTTTCTTTCATTTCAAGTTTTCAACAGAAACCATCTGTAACAACTGCAATTCACGATTAAACCAAAACCCCATAGAAAGGAATGGCTTTACGAGTCACAGCAGGTGCTGCTGCTTCTGCATCACGTATTTCAAGGCCCAAAATCCCTTCATTCTTTTCAGTTCCACACCACAATCTTACTCTCAAATTCCATAACCTTCTTCCACATCATCCACACCCCAATGCTCTTTTACCACACCCTATTCGCAAACCTGGTACACCCATCTTTCTATCTTTCCAATTTCATTCTTATTATTATTACTCTTTTTTTTTTTTGGCTTACTACTCAAAACAATGTAAAAAGATTTTTCTTTTGACCTTTAATCGTTTTGGGTATGCACACAAATTGAACGCCATATGCTTAATTTTCTGTCTTTTGCTTGCAGGGTCTCAATGCCACATTCGAGCTATTAGTGAAGCTGCTGTGGAACCTGCAATTTCTAAGAAAGAAGGGGAAGAACAGTTTTCTAGAGATTGGAAGATTAAAATGCTCTATGATGGAGATTGCCCGCTTTGCATGCGCGAGGTTCACCTATATTCTAATAAAAAAGTGTTGCTTCTCATGATTCTTTTGGCATAGATAACTTGTGTCATGTCATTGATGGTGTCTTTTGCATTTTGTTGTCACTTGTCATGTTATGTCAGGTGAATATGCTAAGAGAGAGGAATGAGAGTTACGGCACAATCAAGTTTGTTGACATAAGCTCAGATGATTACTCTTCCGAGAAGAATCAGGGCCTTGACTATGAAACTGTTAGTCCCTACTCTATGGTCTTTGATCTATGCCAATTTTTCTGTTATTTTACTTAATGATAATTTTCTCTTATAATTAATTATGAGTGATGACAAACTCTATTGAACTCGTTCATACGTTTTATTTTATTTATTTTTGGGTTTCACACTTCAATTACTAGGCCTTTGTTTGTTTAATTCATTATATTTTTAAGAACCTCAAACGAAAGTGGTTATTTTATTTGATGATTCTTACTAGTGAAGACATGTTTCCACAAGCAATTTGCTAGTTGATAGATGTTATATGGTGCATAGATATCTGAGGTTTCAAGCAACTCTTGCATGTGCTTAGAGATACAATACAATGACTGTTTGTTTCCCCTTTTAGGTTATGGGAAGAATTCATGCTATTCTCTCAGATGGAACTGTGGTTACGGATGTTGAAGTATGGCTTCTTACCTGATCTTCATTTCTAACCTAGGATAATTATTGCCACTTCTCTTGCTCCTGTTTCAATAATATCATGATCTAGATATGAATGCTTTTGAATATTCACATTAGTTTAAGTTCTAAATTCAGAAATTTTTATGGAATTACTGAGATTTTAGAAACATCACTTACAGGTACACAATCCTCATAGTTCATTCTCAATCACAACATGTGCATTATAGTGTAGTACCAAACTACCACTAAGACTTAAATATCAATATCCAATTTCATCTTTAATACAGTACAATTTGTTACTTTTTCCAATACAAAACTCTATTTTACTTTTCTTTGCAATGACATTTTAGTGTATGCGTATTTCTGCATGTGTTTGATGTTGGTGAGGCATCTTGCAGGCATTTAGGAAATTATATGAACAAGTGGGTCTTGGTTGGGTTTATGCCATTACAAAATATGAACCAGTAAGTCTTCCTATCGTACTTTTGAAGGACTTGTTATCCTGTTGCTATCCAACATGGAGAAACTGCAGAAAAGATAGCTTATTTCTTTATGTATTATGTTATTAATGGAGGAAAACACCATTCACAGATTGCAAAAGTTGCTGATTCCATATATGGTGTTTGGGCTAAATACCGTCTTCAAATTACAGGTAAAAGCAACACACATTTATAATTCTGCACTAAAATTTCGTTGTAGCTATATTGTCACTGTTTAATGTATAAAAGTAACACCTAAGATAATGTTTTGACTTTAGTTGGACTGATGCAGTCATGTGTAGTCTATTATTTTGTTGAAATGATGTAGCCACATTATGAGCCTGGGAAGCAGAGTTATTGTGATAGGCTATCCTCTAATCTCACACTTGATGACAAAATCCGTTCATCAATGAGTGAAGACTATAACTTTTAGTTGCATTTTTCATTTTTAAGGATAATCATTTATGAGCCTATAATTTCCACTACTTGAGAGCAAGACTTGCCTCTATGGTTATGCTAACATTCTTTAAATTCATACGTTATTTGTCCACTTTTGGTTTCCAGGACGGCCGCCTATAGAAGAAATATTAGAAGCTCGAAAGAAGAAGGTAGTAATACTCAACTGCATAAAGCCTCATGTTAAATTCAACATAGAATGTATCTGAAGAATAGATCAGGAAAACGGAAGATGGAAAGGAATGTTAAAAAGGAAAGAAATTTCAGAGTTGGATAATAATGAGATTATTTGAAATCATATACATTAGAATAATTGAGACGAACCATGACCCATTGCATTGATTTGTAGTCTGCATCCCTTTTATTTTTAGGAAAAATTAAAGACTTTTATCATTTTGACTTTGCTCATTATACTGAACAGAAATAGCACTTAATGCATAACTTAGTTGTGAGGAAACATAGATAACTATTTCATCAAAGCTAATCTAATGCTTCGTACAACTCTGAAAAATGCTTAAATATGGTGTACATTAATGAACATAATGTTAAGAGTTCTTGAATAATCTGACTCCATTCAAATATTAGTTCGGGCCATTGTTAGTAAGTAGCTTTTCTGACACATATTTTTCAGATTCACTTTAACATACCTAACAATAAAAAGTATGAGTAGTACTTGGTTCTGATTTGTATTATTTACGTTTGCAGGGTGAAGTATGCAAAGACAGCAATGCTTGCAAGATGTAAATTTTCATAATATCCAACTGTGATGAAAACTTCGAAAGGCTCATTATATGATTTGTTACCAAATTTGATCCTCGTCCTCTGAAGCAGATGTTTATATACTTATTTACAAAAAGCAGCCAATATTATAGATTGGTGTCACAGCATTTTACGTGGTCCTCGGCATATGCATTTGATAACCTTTTTCAAATTTTGCTGTCAACGGATCTTGCATAAGAGATGGGAGTGTAAATAAAATATGCTTGTACGTACGTTGTTTCTTATTCTTTCATCCTTTAATCTCCATAAAGTCCTAGGTGATTCTTCAGGATTGTATTACATAAGTTACATGAAACTAGCATTCGCTGAATTACCAATATCTATGGATTGATACTTATCACAACTGAGACAGCGTAGAGATAGTGTAAAGTTTATTTTGCATATACAAACATAAACATACAAGAGTTATACATGCATTTTTGTGTGCATCCATTTACCTCTGCTGGTAGGTATCAGTTATTTCTCCACACCCGTTATAAAAATCTTTGTAAACCCGCTGATATTTTGTCTCAACCCACCTAGTCTTGCCACTCTTGCAGCACTCACTCCGCTAAGATGCATTTCTCTAAATATCTTCACTTTTTACTCCATCCACTACTTCTATTATACACTCCTTTTCAGCCCTTGATCCCACTCTCCATAACTCTTCTACAAGCTTAGCATTTGTAGGCTGATTGCTCCACTATCACCATTGGCATCCCTATGCTTAATATATGGAGAACACGCAGTAGCAGAACTAGTCAAGAATACAGCTCCATAGATGCCAAACTGTTTGGCCACAGGCCACAGCAAGTGCCCAAGGAAGCATAGAATTGTATATGATCCAGTTGACAGGAGATAACGAGTCTCTGAGCTTCAATATAAGCTCTGCCAATGTTTTGGAACCAACTGATTTATAGGAATCAAGGTATGCTTCCACGCTAGGAGCATATGCTTGAACCCACTTTCACCGTAGCCATCTGAGATGGCCTCCACAGCTACGACTGGTGCATGTATGTACTAGATAGTGTAAGGGGCGGTGGCCTTGAGACCTTAGGAGACCAATAGTTCTGCAAATTGGTTTTGAAATTGGGGTTGATGGTGTTAGACTCGGTTTAAACTTGGGTATGAACACTAAAAAAACATGTGTTTTTAAGCATATTGCATATTGTATGTATGTAAAGTTATTTTATATAAATTTATCTAACGTTCATCAAAATACACACAAAAAAGTGTGTGGAGATCATATAGACCCATATGAAATGAAGAGAAGAGATAGAAAAAGAAAACATGAGTCTGACACACTTTTTTGTTTGTAGTAAGGTAAACATAGCTAAAGTTATATAAAGTAACTTTAGAAACTTTAAACTCTATATTTATATATGGTTTAATATTTCTATTTTTGTTGCAGAAAAAATTTATCTGTCACACTCACATAAAAGTGTGTGGATCTTATTATAAAGAGAAGTGAGAAAAAATATTAGTAGAATTCACTTATTTTTATGTGCTCGTGATAGAAAAAAAAATTCTACACTAGAATCAAAAATATTCACATATATATATATATATATATATATATATATATGGAAAAAGTTATATTTACAAATTTTTTATTTAGTAAACTTAAGTTATATGTCTTATCGGTGTGTGTGTGAAAAAGTTTAAGACCCCACTATGGTTACCCGCTTATGGTTTTGTGTGTGTGAGAGAAAGTTTAAGACCCCTTTATGGTTACCGCTTATGGTTTTGTTTTGTTTTTTTCATCACTTACCTCTTATAGTTTTTTCTATTCAAGTCTACCTTTAACAACAATGAAATTTAAACTAATTTTTCAATTTTATCTCTATTTTTCCTACATAAAAATCTTAGTCACTGAATTAGTTAAAATTTGGATGCTTGATCTATACACAAATTTTGGAAATACTTGCATCTTTTATTTTTGAAAATACTTGCATCTAATTAAAAGCTAACCAAAAAGATTTTCTTTCTCGGGCATTCAAAATTTGAATAAAAGGAAAAGATTTGTAGTATTTGCATGACAATTTTGAGAGTATAAATGGGTTTGATTCAAATTGTGTACTTTTTCTCCACTTGTTCAGGACCTTCAGGTTGTGGGGAATCTCAGAGAAAAAACCATTCTTTCTTCTATGTCGTTGTGTGCAGAGGAGAGCAAGTTTTTGTAAAGTCAGATATTATCTTCGTTTGATTATAAACATTTATATTATCTAGTGCTGAAGTATACAATGTGCGTGTGATAAATATTAGAGGTGCTCGCGGTCTGGATTAGATCGATTTTGGAAGCAAAAATCATCCGATCTAATCCTTCAATTTGATCGTGTAATCATCCATTCGGTTTGGATTTTTTTTTTTAACTCTAATCCGATCCAATCCAATTTTTTCGGTTTGGATAGGATCAATTTTCAATTTTTTGAAAATTCTAAATTTTTTTTCATAATTATTGTGCAAATAACATCTTTTATATATATATATATACTAATTTTGTAAAAAAAACAATTGAAATACAAAAGCATCATTAAATGATAATATAGTTTTTTTTTTTTTTTTTGATAACAATATATAGTTTTTTTTTTTATAACAATATATAGTTTTTTTTTTTTTTTGGCAATGAGATATGAAGCTCTACGTAAATGAAATTTTGTTGATAAGATGTGATTAAACTTTTTCTTGGGTTTAGCTGATTTGTTAATGAGTCTTGAGTTTAAAAATTTTTGGGCTATGATTGGGGAAAAACCTTAGTAGGTAGAGGGAAATTAATATATTGGATTGGTTTGAATTGGATTGATTTTTATCAACCAATCCGAAAATCGATCCAATCCAATTAAAATTTGTGATTTTTTTTTTTGTTTTTGGTTTTTGATTTATTTGGTTATCAATTTTTCAGTTTAATCACCGCGATTTAAATCGATTTGGATAAGTTGATGAACACAAGCTACAAAACTTGCTGCATCATTGGGATCTTATGTCCAAGTTAATGTGTCTGATGAGGAGCTAACTTTACTCTTATCCGAAATATAGTCCTTGCTTCTTTGTTGAATAAACATTTAAATATGTAATTTTATGGGGCCAAGTACCATCACATTTAGATTTAGCTATCTACAGGGGTCCTTTTGGGTTGAATACTTCTTAGATAGAGAACATTTTATTCATAAAAAGTGTGTTCAAATATGTATGCTTATGAGAAAAAAGCTTATGTAGTATTTAACATGGATGTGTGTGTGTGTGTGATCAGACCAATACAATATGGGCTGACTAAAGTGTAAAGAGCCTAATCACACACAGTTGAGGTTAGAAGACTTTGAGTTGGGCTGTCTGTTTCCTGAGCTTAAGATAGTTGTAGAAGATGGGTGATGTAACATTCACCTTTGGCGCGATGATCCTGACTGGGTGTACCTGCAAATGCAATGACACTATGACGCTCAAGTCAGTATCAATGTCAGGTTTTATGTGTATTCTTACTGAATTAGATTGTTAAACTTGGGCATGTACCTTGTGTTTATATAGTGAATCTGATGCCTCCTTAGGAAGGCGATATGACTTCTGATTGGTTGTTCCTGGGCTGCAGGTTCAGCTTGTGCTTCTATAGCCTTATCTCATTATGTCAGACTATTTTGGTAGAGTGGTGGCAAGTTGGTGTTGTCTGCTATTTATTTGTTCAATAGCGCGGTGGATCTTTATTAGTTCCTGTGGTTGCTTCCTTATCTCTGAAGTTATGTTGAAGGGCGGTTTGGGCGCGATGGTAACATCGCACCTTCTAATGCGCGATTGATGACATCGCGCCTCATTCTGGGCCTGGTGGGTTTGGGCCTTGCTCTATGGATTTTAGCATTTGATAGACCTATCATATTTTATCCAGATCAGTTGCCCCCTAGCTCGCAACTTTGGTATTTACAAAGCTGGGAGATATATATATTTTCCAGGCGCGGTAAGTCTTTGTTGTGCTCACTCGATGTCGCCCATGTCACGCCGAAGAATCATCCTTACTCAGCCGCTTAGAACGGTTGATTAGATGTTTAACTGTCAGAGGCATTAAATGCCATCGTAATTACGTGGGTGTATTAGTGACTAACGTGGGACGTTTTAGATATTAATCAATTTACCTTCTGCCCACGTACCCTCCTTCTAATCCGCTTAACTCAAAACGTTTTAACCCTTTAGGTTTCCTTGTGGTGACTTTTCATATTTGTACTGAGCTTTTTAGTTGTAGGGAAATCATTCTAAGCTTTCACCCTCTTTCCAAAAAGGTTTTCTTCTCTAATGCTCTTTCGCCGGTGATATTTTTCGGTGTGTTGACACGTCTTGCTTCCACTCTCATTTCGTTGAAGTATAAAACGCATGTATATTTCTACCTTTTTTTATTCCTCGTGTTCTTGTTGTATGGTTGCGTTTTTTCTTGTATTTGAGCTTGGGCATGTCTGATAATCGCAAATTTGTGAATTTTATTAGAACGGTCGAACGGTCTGGCTCCATTAGTCCTCCACCAAGGTCCTTACCTAGGTCGAGGTCGTTAGGGACCGGGGAGTTGTGGCTAACTGGAAAGTGTGCTGCCCCTGGAAGAAAGTTAATTTGAATGGTTGTGGTTCTTCTTTTCGATGTTTTAAAGTTGGATCTTCGTCTCGGAATCCTAATCGCGGGATAACCAGAAATTTGTCGCAACAAAGTTCATCTCATTTTCCAAAATCTTTCCCTAAAATGACAAATCCTATTTTCATATCAAGTGATTCCTCCTCGAATTCTGGGTCTGGCCGTACCCCTGTTAATGCCCTAGACTCTGATTTTTCTCCTTCCATTTCATCGTGCAATACTTCACATTCTACCGCGCGCGATCAGTCAAACCGAAAGAGTCCAAGTCCTCTACCATTAAATGTTATTTATCCAGCTGGGTACCCGTATAAAAAATGAAACTTTGACAACTTTAAATCTTCATTTTCTAGTTCCTCGTCGACTTCTTCTAGCTCTACTAATTTCTCTTCTTCTGAACATCTCGCCTTAAATTAAAGAAATCATGGCTAGGTGCGGTGCAACTGGTAAAAAGAAGAAGCAAAAGCTTGATCTTGAGGCAACTGGATCAGGTAAGCGTGGTATTCGAGATGAAGAGGCTCTAGATTGGGTATCCAACATTGTTTTAGACACTGTCACTATATATAGTTCACCAGAGGAGTTGGAAGAATTGAAGGTTGTCATCCATCTTACCGCAAACAAATCACAAGATGAAAAATGGGAGTTAGATGTCGTTCCCTTAAACGAACGAGTATGCTCAGCGCACGCTGATAATTTTTCCAGACACTTCATGATGATTTATGCCTACTTCTTCCTAACGATACGCGTGCGTCTGCCTTTTTCATCTTTTGTCTGTAAA